CACAGACAGATTGGAAACAGCCCCAGGGGGTAGATCATCCACCCGCTGGGGCGACAGCATCCTCTCTGTGTGCCGAGGCAAGCTGATGCTCCTACAGACGCTGACACATGATATTGTGTCCCAGTCCAGCATCTTCCCATCTTTCCTTCGCGTCCCCAAGGGCTTTTCTGCAATCACATGTAGCTGGCCAGACTGGAGCGGCAGTCTGGCTGTGGGGGACCGAAGGAATCCGTTCTCCATGGACTGAGGCCCCCCCCAAATTCATTTGTCAGGCTGAGACCACTCCCTATCATTTGTCTGGAGAGTTTTTTGTTTGAGAGAACTCACTGTATTACTTAGGTCGGCAGTCCTGTGAAAACAGCTTTTCACAAAGAATAAAATGTAGAATTACTCTAGAAATCCGTTGTGAAAGTCTTCTGCCTCCAAGTGGGGAGCTTGTGAGGCTTCAGACGCTGTGACATAAAGTATCAAAAGGTTGACATTGCCTTTGGGAAAATGGTTATTACCCCCACATGAGAGAAGCAGGCTCACCCACGATGGGCCCTGGAGGGTGCCGAGGGCTATGGCGCTGGTGGTCTCCAAGTCCGCGTGGCAGGATTTGATGATTAGGTCTTAGTGCTTTGGTTTGGGTTTTTGGTTTATCTTTTGCAAGTAGCCTGTCTCCAAAACAGGCAGAGGCGGGTAACAGGCAAACACGAGGGCCCGGGCTGGCAGGTGCTTATGAGAGAGACACTGTCCACGTCTGTCAGGGGCTCAGTGACCCAGAGCCAGGCTTTGAAATGGGCCGTTTCAACTGTTATGCATTTGTTTGGCCTGCATCTTTCTCAAGCTGCATCTCTTTCATTTAGCACTTGTTGTGAGGAGATTCTTGGGCCGGTGCTCCATGGTGTGCTTATTATTGTCAGAAAGAAATAGAAAACCTTATTGGTGATGGAGCCTGCCTCTGGGGGCCCTGACGGCCTGCCTCACATACTGGCCAGGCGGCTGCCATGCGTCCTGCTGTTGGTCACATGAGCCTTGCACCTGTTGTGTTTCTGCGTCCTGGTGTTGGTGGCCGGTGCAATCTGTCCCCACCACACGGGGTTACTAGCTCTCAAGGGCCTTGTGTGAAGGACAGAAACTGGAGAGCCTTTTCCTTTTGAAGCTGGTGACCTCATGAGTGTGGACCCCAGCCCTAGGGTGGACCGAGAGTCTGAAGAGTGTCTGGTGGTCCCACCAATCTTCCCATGAACAATCTCCGGCCCTCCCTTCCCTCCCACAGGGTCCAGCTCTCTTTTCCCTAAAGGAAGCTTTCACCGGCCACTTAAACCTGGGGTTCCTCCTCCCTTGACCCTGACTTCGGACCTAGCTCCCCTGTGCTTGCCTATTTCTGGGCCTCTTTCAGGATTTTACTGGGTTTTGATCTGGGGATATAGATTGGGGCACAAATCAGGCATGTGACAAAATTCAAGAACTGCAGGTGTAACTTGAGGTTACAAGCAGCTCAGGGTTTTTGCGAAAACCTGACAGGCAGCCAGCCCCGGGTGTACTTTTCCACTGCTGGTGAGGGCTGGGGACGGGGCAGTGCCTGTTCAGATGTGAAAGACAGGAATTACCACAACAAAAGCACTATGCTGGGTTTAGGTTTTCATAAAAAATTCAGAAATCCTTTAAAATATTTGTTTTGTTGGAAGAGGACGGCGATCTCGTTCCCTTGACACAATGATCTTTCCAGCATGGAAAAGTCCGGTAGCACCACACGCCAAACTGAGCAGCTAGCTGCTGAATCATTTGCGTCCACCAGAGTAAGTTCCAAATCAGCTTTAACATTTACCTAATTGTCTTCTTATGACTTGAATAATGTATCTAAACATTTCATCCTTTAAACTATTGAAACATCAAGGTTTTAATGTGTCTTCTGTGAAAACCAGTTAGCAAGCTTCATTGGATTGGAGGGGGGTCTTCTCTTCCCTCGGATCGGGGAGGAGTTTGGTGGGAGCAAGACCCTAACCCAAACCCAAACAGCAACAAAAGATTTTGGCCTTGAGACTTTTTCTTTAAATCTCGATAGCAAGAACTTCCCTGATGACAAGCGGTCTTGGTCACCCTGGGGCTGCTGTGTCAGCCGGGGTTCTCGGGAGGAACAGAACCAGCAGGCCAGATAGACCCACGGACAGAGAGGAAGGGACAGAGGGGAAGAGACGTGGTGAGGGTTGGCTCACTGGATCACGGCGGCTGAGGAGCCCCTGTGGACGGGACTGGGGCCGCGGAAGCCAGCAGGTGAGTCCCGGTCTCAGCCCAAGGACCCAAGAAGCTGGGCGCTGCTGGCCCCCCCCGGGAGAAGGCGGATGCGCCGCTCAGGCAGGGAGTGGATCTGCCTTCCCTCCACCATTTTGTTCTATTGGGTCTATTAGGGCCTCAGCCCATTTGGCTGAAGCCACCTGCAGGGGTGAGGGTGATTTTTACACAGTCTCCTAATCCAAGTGCTAATTTCTTCTGGAAACGCCCTCCCAGACACACCTGGGAATACTGTTTTACCAGCTGCCCGCGCCTCGCTTAGCTAACAGGTGAAGGTGACCATACGGTTGCCAGCAGGCCGGGGGCTTAAACTACACGCACGCTGTGGGGACAGGGGCTCTGGCTTCGTCCCGAAATACCTGGCGGAGTTGGCGGGCCTTCACCTGGGCCTCCGGAGTCACAGCCATTCAGCTCCCCTGTATTTCTCAACATACGACTTTATTTAACCAGTTGATCTTAACCTTAACCACAGACAATAAACCAGAAAAAAATGTAAACAAATAGACCCCCGGAGTATTACGTTTCGGGCTAAAGTCTCGGTGTGTCCACGCAGGCGCACGGGGCGTCCTGGGGGTGAGTCGGAGTGCTGGATCCCACCGTCCGTCTCCCATCACAGACACCCCCAGCCTGGGACCAAAGCTGCCTCAGGTGCAGACTGTCAACCTTCTGGCTCCTATCTGTCACTGAAGGCGTCCCCGATGCGTGCGGGGTGGGGGCGGGACACTGAAGGTGTCCCCGATGCGTGCGGGGCGGGGCGTGCGCGGAGGCGGAGCCTGGACGGAAAGAGGTGTGGGGTTCCGGGCTGCCGCCAGGCGGGATGACAACCAATCCTGAGACCCCACGGTCCCCCGCAGCCCCGTCCCCTCGGCCGGGTTGAGCTCCCAGAGGCCAGGACAGGCCCCCCCATCTCAGGGGGGTTGGCCACAGCAGCATGCTGGCCTCCCCCGCACCCGCCCAGTCCCTCCCGGGGCTTCCTAGCAACTCTTCTGGGCCTGGACACTCGGAACAACTTGACCTGGCTTTGGCTGAGCCTTTCTGATGTGTGCGGTCCTTCCGCTCGAAGAGAAGAAAGACCTACTTACGTTACCGCCGGGCCGTGTGTCATTTTAATAAAGGTGACGCGTGGCCTGTCATCACCACCAGCACTACGAGTGACCAATAGACATGATGGTGGTAGAGCTACCGCGTAAGGACTACTGTCCACGCGCCCGGCTCTGCTCTAAGCATCATTCCTTCATCGTTCACAACATACTTAACGAGACCCTGCTGGGCACTGTCTACGCATTACCCAAGGGGGCTGTGGGGTCTCTGAGCCTTAGCGGGAGGAGAGGATGAGGAAACGAGCGGCTGTAACAGGAGGTCCCACAGCAATAAGACCGTGAAGAGCCTGGAAGCCGCGCGAAGGGCCAGTGAGCGATGCCGGGCGTGGGGCTGGGGGTCGGAGCTAGCCTCTCTCCGGAAGGGCCTTCTGGACAGAAATTTGAACGCAGCGCAGGAAAGAGCCTTGCAAAGCTCTGGGGAAGGAGGAGCCAGCAGGGGCGCAGCAAGGGCAAAGGCTTCCCGAGAGACAGGCCTTCTTAAACTTAAACATGTACTCTTTTTAGTGCATAGTCTGAGTCTTGGCAAATATAGGCGCTCATGTAACCACCAGCAGCACAGTCAAGACAGAACATTCCATCGCCGCCAAGAACTTCCCTGTCGCCTTTGTGGTGAGCCCTGCAGCCCAGCCCTTCCCGCACTCCAGCCACTGCCAGGCTAGCTGTCCCTGTGGTTCCTCCTTGTAGGACTATCATAAAAATGGATGTGTGCAGTCTGTAGTTTCTTTTTTTCTTTTTTAAAGATTTTGTTTATTTGTTAGAGAGAGAGAGCACGGGCGAGAGAGAGTGAGCAAGAGCACAAGCAGGGGGAGCTGCAGGCAGAGGGAGAAGCAGGCTCCCCGCGGAGCAAGGAGCCCGATGCGGGACTCAATCCCAGAGCACTGGGATCATGACCTGAGCCGAAGGCAGCTGCTTAACCGACTGAGCCACTCAGGCGCCCCAGTCTGTAGTTTCTGAAGATGGTTCTTTCACTCGGTGGGATGCAGGTGAGCTTCAGCCCTGCGGTCGCAGAGACCAGTAGCTCCGTCTTTCTCTTTAGTGCCCAGTGGGATTCCATTGTATGGGATTTGTCCATTTGATTGATCTGTTTACCAGTTTGGGGATATTTGTGTTGTTTCCAGTTTTTGGAGACTTGTCATCAAACTGCTAAAAACATTCATGCGCAGGTTTTGGTGTAAATGGTGGTTTTCACTTCCCTGGGGTCAAAGATGGGGGGAGGGCTTGCTGGCTGCTGTAAGTGTGGGTGTAGCTTTATGGGAGACTACCAAGCTGAGAAAAGTTTTTTAAATGTTTAAATCTTAGTCTTCACCACAGCTGCTTGGGGTAGGTCCTGTCCTCACCCCACCCTGCCAGGTGAGCGCACTAAGCTGCCCTCGGGTGAGGCAGCTGACCTGGGGCACGAGGCTGCGACAGGGCAGATCTCAGGAGTCTGGTCTCCACCCTCTTGCCTGATGCGATGGCTTCTTGGCCCATGGGCTTCTGTCCCATCCCATGCTGCCTTCAGCTTTTCCTGTCTCTGCCCCTCCTCACGCCGCCTGGCCCTGCCCTGCCTTCCTGCAGCATCTGTCCATCAGCGCGTTTTCTCCAGAGGTGATGCCATGCGGGCTCTCCAGGCAGGGTGCTCACCCCTGCGCAGCCTGGGGCTGCCGTGTCTGGGAGCAGGATGCTTCTCCTGCTGCTGGCACCTGTCAAGGCCACCAGTCTCCAGCAGGGTGGCCACCAGGAGACGGAAGGCAGCTCCCCCAGCTTGTTCCTGGCTACTCTTCTCCCAGGCCTGGCACCAGCCCGGGGAGCCAGTGGCATCCAGTGGTCACTAGTGGTCAGCTTTACCTTGAGTTTTCACTATGCAGCAACAACCCCTCTGACACCCCTCCACAGAGACACGTTCTCCTGCAAAGGACACACGCTTGTGCTTAAAAATTCAAACAGTAGATCAGAGCAGACAACGAAAAGGAAGTTTCTCCTCCTTTTACTTGAGGTTTGCTGCTGCAATTAACAATTTCTGTTTTTAGTCATCTGGTTATTGGCTCACAAATATGAATGTCATGATACCATATGCAAATTCTTGATTTATCAACTTTAGAGAGTATCTATTAACTCCACTGTAGGGAAGAGAAAGAATTTAGTGTTTTATGACCTTCCTTTCTTCCTGTCCCTCTACTTCCTGGCTTTGACTTGTAAAATTACAAGGTTTTTCCAGGGTTCGATTTATGCTTAAAAAGAGTGACTTGAATCTATTTCTCGATGTATCATCTCAAGACAAAAATCTGCTGGTTCTCGACTATACGAAATGAGGAAATAGTGTGAGTAGATGGGCCTGGGCTCGCCGCCTCAGATTTCTGTCAGGTTATCGTTTTTATCATTTATAAAGACCAAAGCAGGGGCGCCTGGGTGGCTCAGATGGTTTAAGCGACTACCTTCAGCTCAGGTCATGATCTCCAGGTCCTGGGATCGAGCTCCACGTCAGGCTCCCTGCTCAGCAGGGAGTCTGCTTCTCCCTCTTCCTCTGCCCCTTCCCACAGCCGTGCTCTTATGAATAAATAAAAAAAATTCTAAAAAAAAAAAAAAAAAAGACCGAAGCAGCTGTCGTTAAGTGTCCTGTGCTTTGGGTTGATTCTGAAAATGCACTGACACAGCATGAAGGCATCATGATGCCGTGAGCGTTACCCACGCAGGAGCAAGCACTGGGATGAGGCCCCTGCGGAGGGAAATAAAAGGCTATGTAGGGAAACCTTGGGCGCTTGGAGGACAAGGGTCCACGGGGGATGGTGTCTTCCTTCCACTCGGTCATCTGCCCACCACCACCTCGCACTGAGCCTGTGTCAGGTTTGAACCAGGACTCCCTTATCTGCCTTGTTTCTCCGGGGCTTCCTAGTTGCTGTTATGTTTATTGTTGCTGCTCCTGGGGGATCAGAGGCCTCCACCGCATCATCAGGCACTAAGACCAGGTTAGGATCTTTGAGTTCTAACTGGTGTATCGTCCAAGCGACTTGTTCTCTGCACACAGTCTTTGCAGAGACCCCTGCCTGTCTCCGGACTGCCTTCTAACCTGCTGTGTGGAGGTCAGCTTGGGTTTTTTCTGTTGTGCACCCAAGTCCTACATTTTCCCTACACCCCCCAGTAGTCCACGGTTATGGCTCCAGAGCCTTTCGCTCCCCGACAGAACTTAACTGTCTTGGGAGTATGTGTGGTGCGCTGTGGTTGGCATGCTAGCCCCGAAGGACGGCCAGACAGTTCAGATGACATAATCTGGGGAGGGTGACAGGCCGGAGAGGGGCTCTTGGCTTCGGGTGTGGCGTGGCCTGGAGTGGCCCCTGACGCAATCAACCTTCTGACTCATGTCGGAGTGTGCAGGGACCAAACTCACTGCCCGGGGGTGCTCCCAGGAGGCTGCTCGGGGGCCGAATACTGGACACACACACACACAAACACAAAGAAACGTGCACTAACACACACACAAACACACACATTTAAACATTTTTACTGAATCAGTTCAAGGTATTTCAAATATTTTCAAAAATATTCTTAAAGTAATATCAGATGATTGATTCAATAGTATCAATACTATATAGTTGATATTCTATTTTCCCTGTCTCCAAAATCTCTCCCGCGGCTTCTTCTTGACCTGGCATAAGATCGCGGTCCCCACTGGACTGTCAGACCTCCTCCAAGCCCCGTCCTCGCTGCCCTTCTCTGTCTTTACGACATTCAGAGGCAGCTCTGTCAGAACGGCCCATGCTTGGAATGTGTGTCCCCTCCCGTGATGGGTGTGAGGACATCTCTGTGCCCGCACCGGGGGGCGCACGGGAAGGGGCTGTGCACCCACTGACTCGGGCAGGGGTATCAGCCCGTGTGCAGGGGAGAAGCTGTCCTGGTGTCAGGGGCTGACCTTAGTGTCTGAGGCAGATGGGGGCACGGAATGCAGCCCCATGGTGAGAAGGTCTGCAGACTGCCCGTGCCTGTTCCCAGGGCCACACGCTGTCCCACCTGGCTGAGTGCTGCAGGAGTGCCGCCAGGCTGATGACCATTGAGGGAAGCCACCGTGGGGGGCAGGTGCCCATCGGGGGAGGACAGGTGTCCACGGGGGCAGGTGTCCGTGGGAGGGCAGGTGCCCATCGGGGGAGGACAGGTGTCTGTGGGGAGGACAGGTGTCCACGGGGGGCAGGTGTCCGTGGGAGGGCAGGTGCCCATCGGGGGAGGACAGGTGTCTGTGGGGAGGACAGGCGTCCACAGGGCACGGATGTCCACAGATGTCCAGGAGCAGGCCCCACTGGGTAGACTTTGGGGTGTGTGTGGGAGTGAGACTCAGAGCAGAGACCATGCCTGAAGCCTGCTGAGGAAGCCAGGGGACAAGATGGTCTTGGGTGGGAGACACATGTCACTGGACAAAAAACCCACAAGCTCCAGCCTGTCACTTGGGAAACAGCACTGTCCTGCAGGTCCCGTGCTCTGGTCACACTGATGGCAGAGGCCACAGGATGGGGCCTGGAGCCGTTCAGATCTTCCCACTTCCATGTCCCTGCCCCCAGGACGGCTTAGGGTGAGGGCCGGTGTGCGAACTCAGCTGTGAGGAGCCGCGGAGGCCGGGAGGGATGGCACCTTCACCTGCGAGTAGATGACAGAGGAGCCCTGGGGTCCGGAAAGCCGCTGCTGGCTGGTGGCCGGGCCGTGGGAGGGCAGGTAGGTCCGGAGGAGCCTTAACGCGGAGTTTGAAGCCACTGTGGGAAGAAGAGCAGCACTCAGCTGGCAAAGATGAGCCAGCGCTCTTGCCTGACTGCACGCCCCCACCGGCTCCGTCCCATCCCGGGGCCTCTCTCCGCCCGGACGGCAGCCTCCCTGTACTGCCAGGGCCCTGGCCTGAGACCTTGGACCTCCGGCGGGGCCCGGCCCTCCTCAGCATCCCTCCCAGTTCCCCAGGCTCCCTGAGACCACCTCTTCTCTTGTTAGTGTTTTGAGCTCAGACTCCTCACATGCACTGCGGAGAGCCCGGCCAGGTCACCTGTGTGGCCTCAGGCAGGTCACGGCCACCTCTCCTGCCCTGGTGGTCTCCTCCGTATGGTGGGAGTAATAACATCATCCCCCTCTGGGGTTACTGTAAATTGATATGAGTTTGTGTGTGTGTGCGTGTGTATGTATTTTCCAGTGTCCATCACGGGTGCCAGTACGGTCCTGACTGCTATGAATAAACACATAAACAAGCATTAAATATATAAGCGCACATAGTGTATTTATTTATAGCACCTGGACCTGTACTTGGCACACAGGATCTCAACACATGTTGATGGGACGTTAGGTGTTGTTATGACTTTTATATATTATCCTAAATCTGGAATGTGGAATGTGACATCCGGCAGGTGGCTCTCTCCTGTTGGCTTGGAGGGACCATCTAGGCTTTGTGACTTGAGGGCGGTCTCACTTAAGGTCCTCGGCCTTAGTTCCCTCATTTATAAGATTGGGATAATAACAATACTCACCTCAAAGGAAGTTGTGGGTATGAGCGAGTTCCTGTGTGTGACAGGTGAGCCATTGAACCAAGCATGGGCAGAAACACAGTTCATTTGACTTTATACAAGGGGATCGGAAAACCAGAGAGGGAAGCAGAATGGGTAAAATCACACAGCGCTCCTTACAGAGCACAGGTGAAAGGGAGTCTGCCCCAGAGGCAGGTCTCCCTTGTGCAGGAGGGAGCCGGGCTGGGGCCGGTCATGGCTGAGCACCCACCGGGGAGGACGGGCAGAGCCAGCCCAGCAGCAGTGAGTCATCCTCAAGCTGCGGGGATGGCATCCCCATGTCTGCTTTCTCAACCCTGTGGGTTAGAGTGGGAGGAAGAGTCATGCCCCCGAGATGTCTGTGTCCCAATCCCTGGAGCCTGTGAGTGTGTGACCTCGCAAGAAGGGACTTTGCAGATGTGATTCAGATTAAGCACCTTGCAATGGGAGATTATCCTGGATTATTCAGGTGAGATTTTAGGGAGAACTTTAAATCAGAGAACTTTCCCAGCTGTGCTCAGAGGGAGACCCGGCTTTGGACGAGTGATCAGAGGAATGCAGCATAGCACTGTCCACTTTGAAGACGGAGGAAGGGGCCATGAGCCGTGGGGAGGGGTGTCCTTGAGAAGCCAGAAAGAGCAAGGAAGTACTTTCTCCCCTGGAGCCTCCAGAAAGGAGCGCAGCCCGGGCAGCACCTCGACGTGAGCCCGGGAGACCTGTGTCTGGCCTCTGACCTCCAGCACGGTAAGATAATGCATCGGTGACATGCGTCACGGCAGCAACAGAACGCTGATGGAGGGAGAAGAGGAATGCCAGCCCGTTTCCCATCACAGTGGGGAATGCTGAAGCCCGGACAGGGCAGGTGTTCCCCCAGGCTCTCCCGAGGCCGTCGGTGGGGGATGGAGAGCGCGGCCGGCATGGTGGGGCCGGGGAGCCCAGCAGGGCAGGCGGGCGTAAGTGAAGAAAACCAGCGACCCCGCACGGGGGCGGCTCTGTGTCCGGTCGGCCCAGAGCTGCAGAAGGGGTGGAGGCCGAGCTGCGTGCGGCTGGTGCCTTCGAAGTCGAGAGTCCACGGGTCTTACCTGCATGTCTGTTCCCCTCCTGAATCATCCGCACTTCTGAGTACACCACGTCTCCTCCTTTAGGGTTGACTTGGAAAGAACGGGCAGAGAGCTATAAGGTCCTTGCCTCTTGTCCGACCTACTTCCCCCAGCCAGAGCTTGTCTTCCGCACAGCCCCATGGTCCTCTCCTGCCCCACCCCTGCCTGGACCAACCCTGGGGTCCCTGCCTTAGTGGGGGGTCTTTGGTCCTCACCATTGCTGTACACCGGTTGCAGCTCCATCCAGCCTGGAACATTGTAGTAGGTGGGCTCCTGGGGGTCCGAGTCTGAAGGGCTCCTGTGAGACAGAAATAGCCATGTCTCCCAGCAACCCTGATGAAGCAGTTGTAATCATCACTCCCTGCTTGCAGGTCTTTATACCAGCGGCTGGCTGCCAAGCCTGGACGCATAGATGAGCACATACCCAATGGTCTGCTAGTGTGAACAACCACATTACAAATCACGATGTTTCCAGACTTCGTGGGCACCTGATACACACCAGGCACTGCGCTAATGCTTTTAACAATATGAAGCTGATTCTATCATTATCCCTCTTTTATAGATGGAGAAGGTGATGGCTCCAAGAGGCGAAGTGACTTGCTCAAGACCACGGGACTACAAAGGGCAAGAGCCAGGATTCGAACTCTTGGATCAGGATCTCAAAGAAATCAGTCATGATGAGGACTGAGAGGAACTCTGCATGGTTTGGATGCAGCGGCCATGGGCTTGCCCAGAGATGGTGTGTGAGCCATGGTGGGGCTCCCAAGGTTAGTCTCTGGGATCCAAGATGGCAGCCCCTTCTTACAGGCACAGCCTCCGGTGGGAAGAGCGGTCTCTCTGGGTGGCCGGTCATGTGACTCCATCTTTTCGGGTGTCCCCAGAGCAGGTATTAGGTTGGTCATGTCCAGAGCTTTGCAGCTGGCCAAGTTGAGACTAGCTTAGGACATGGATAGATTCAGTCTTATAGTGGTCACTCAGACAAGCAGTGGTAGAGAACGTAGGTTACTAAATAAAAAGCACTTAACTCTTGATGCAAGAAGGTGTGTGTAGCCAAGGTGGTGGTGAGAAGGTCCTGGCAATTGCCTTGACATATGCCAAGCGAAACAGCAACACGAAGGTGGCACAACCTATCTGTGTCCCCAGCAGTGACCAGACCTGGTTCATTTTTATCCCCTGTGGGCATCTCACGAACCACAAGCAGCACAGCCCGGGTCTTACCTGGAGGGGTCAGAGGTCGGCCTTCCTCCTGCAAGGGAAAGCAGAGGGTCGCTGGAGCCAGGGCAGGAGGCCGTCACAAGGAGCGCAGCTGCTAGGAGGCTCACGAGAACCTGCTGCACGGGTCGCCAGCATTAGGTGGACCCGGCTCCACTCTGCCCAAGGGAGGTGGCAGATGGGGCAGAAACTGCTGACCCTGGCTTGCAGCGGGGCATAGTTGTACCATGAAAGAGGATTTTGTCAAGAGCAATTCTCCATAGCTGCCGGCGGGAAACAGGTCTGGTCAGCTGTGGAGATACTGCACATTAAACAATCAGGAGGTCATCAGATCCCATTGGGTTTCTGCCCTCATTCCTATTCCTCGGTCTTTCTCCTCCCCCTCCCCTTCCTTGGGGGCTTATGAGGGTGGAGAGGGAGACACACTGAGGTTTATGATGTTGGATAAACTCTGTCTCATTGAGGCATCTTCGTGCACTAGGGCCATTTTGGGAACCCTGTGTTTGTAAAGATGAGTTCTGGGGGAGCAGGCGGGGAAGGTGGGGAGCTGTTGAGAGCCCAGGGGTGCTTACAACGACAGCCTGAGCCCGAGGGGAGGGGGCAGGGAGGGCAGGGCCTCAAGCGGAAGGTACCCACCTGCTCTCCTGGGGAGCCAACAATACAGCAGCTGTGCTAAGACCGCGAGGCCCACCATGCCGAGCAGGCCCCCAGCCACGCCGCTGGCAATAGGGCCACTTCTGCTCCCTGTCAGCCCTGGAGGGGAGATCCCGCGCGTGAGCTGGAGGGAGAGGCTCGTGGTCTTGAACTGCTCTGACCCCTGCAGCTGATGCCTGGGCCTGGGTGGGAGGACGAGTCCAGGCACCAGGACTGGGAGCCTAGGCAGCAGCCCAGGAAATGGCTCTGCTCTTGGGGAGGAAGCTCATGTCTGTGGCTGAGGCCAGGCTGGAGGGCCGGGATGGACAGGGCCCACCAGCGAGCATCAAAGTCGGTGGTCCTCCTTGGGCCCCTGCTCCCACTCTAGTACCATCCCTTCAGAAACACTTCAGAAGAGGACCACGTACAGAACTCTCAGCTTCGCGTCCCTATCCTTGAGAAGAAGTACTCTGCTCACACATCATGAGGATTATCAGAATATCCTTGGAGGGGATGTCTGTCCACATCGGTGGCCTGGGCACAGGAAACTTACCTGAGATGGAGAGTGGCACCGCCTCGCTGCGCTGGGGCCCCAGGCCGTTGTCGGCTTCACAGGAGTAGTTTCCAGAATGTTCTGGGGTCAGAGAGAGGTTGAAGGACACTCCTCCTCCAGAGGGGGCCGAGCTGCTCCCCAGGGTGACATTCTCGTGATAAAACCGGTACAGGATCGGGGGAGAGCCGCTCTGGGCCTCACAGCGAAGCTCCACCACGTCCCCCACCACGGCCTGGGCCCCGGGCGCCCTGAGGGTGAGGACGGGCCGGGACGCTGGGACTGAGGGAGACTAAAAGTTAACACAAGTTCCTACTTCTCACGTATTCGTAAATGAGCAGAAATTATAAACAAATGGCAGAGGTCAGATCTCAATCTTGGAAACTAGATTGAAACTCATATGACAGACAAAGCTACTGACCTTAATCTACAGATGCACAAAAATACCGAACAGAAAAGTGTGGAAAGGGTATGAATCGCTAAAAACTTCAAGTAGCCAATAAATAAATAGATTATCATCTCCGTTACTAATTAAATACATACAAATAAAAACACCCATCAGAAGGACAAAGCCTAAAAAGACAGATCATACTCTTGGACTTGTGGACAAACAGGCACCTCAACATGCTCTAGGCAGGATTGCGGATTTGAAACACTTTCTCAAATTTGGCAAACTTAAATTGCCAAATTTAAAATGCACATCAAATTTGACCCTGCAAATCTACCTCTAAGACTGCTTCCTTTAGGGATAGTTAACTGACTGATGAAATACAAAAGACGTCCAAGATGTATTTTTAAGTGAAAATGCGAGTTGCATAATTATGTATAGCCTGATTCTACTTCTGTGAAAAAATTTTACACCTTTATGTTTATAATATATTTGAATATTTCTAGAAAAATATCCATGAGTTCTAGCAATTTTGGGGTGGAGTATGTTGAGTTTTCTACATAGACTATAATGTCATCTGTGAAGAGTGAAAATTTGACTTCTTCTTTGTCAATTTGGATGCCTTTTATTTCTTTTAGTTGTCTGATTGCTGAGGCTAGGAGTTCTTAAAGGTATTATGCTAAAAGAAATAAGTCACTCAGAAAAAGACAAATACCATATGATCTCACTCATACGTGGAATTTAAGAAACAAAACAGATTAATATAGGGGAAGGGGAGGAAAAATAAAATAAGATAAAAACAGAGAGGGAGACAAACCATAAGAGACTCTTAACCCTAGGAAATAAACTGAGGGTTGCTGGAGGGGAGGTGAGGTGGGGCGATGGGGTAACCGGGTGATGGGCATTAAGGAGGGCACTTGATGTAATGAGCACTGGGTGTTATATGCAACTGATGAATTACTAAATTCTACCCCTGAAACTAATACTACATATGTTAACTAAATTAAACTTAAATAAACATTTTTTAAAAAGAAAGAGAAATACCCATGAAACTATTTTCTTTTCCTTTCCTTTCCTTTTTTTCTTTTCTCCCATGAAACTGTTAACAGTGGTTATATCTTGGAAGTATGTGGACATGAAAGTGTGTGCCTGCAGGTAGAATGAGACCTTCACTTTTCATATTGTCCCTTTTGTACCATGCGCCTTTCTAATGATGAAGATTTATGCATTCCTTCAGAATAATGAATTACTAAAAACTCAAAAGTTGTGTTAAAACATGGCCACAAAGGATGAAGGAATGTCACGATGTAGACTTAGGTGGAGACCTGGGTAGGCCCATACCTCAACCTGGCTGTCCCATTCCCAGCTGTGTGTAAACTGGCTACTTTCTACCTCTGAGCCTCACCTTCCTCTCCTGTAAATTGGGGATAAAAGTGGTTTCACTGGTTTATCTTAAAGATGAAATGAGATATTACATGCTAAGTACTAAACACAGGGCCTAGCACATGCAGGGACTGAGTGGTGATGATGATGGTGATGCTGGTGGAAATGATGGTGGTGATGGTGGTGGTGGTGATGGTGATGATGATGGTGATGGTGGTGATGATGATGGTGGTGGTGGTGATGATGGTGGTGAGATGATGGTGGTGATGGTGATGCTGGTGATGCTGGTGGTAATGATGGTGATGGTGATGATGATGGTGATGGTGGTGGTGATGACGGTGATTGATGGTGGTGGTGATGGTGGTGGTGATGGTGGTGGTGATGGTGGTGGTGATGACGGTGATGGTGATGGTGGTGGTGATGACGGTGATGGTGATGGTGATGGTGGTGATGGTGGTGGTGATGATGGTGGTGATGGTGATGGTGGTGGTGATGATGGTGGTGATGGTGATGGTGGTGGTGATGATGGTGGTGATGGTGACGGTGGTGGTGATGGTGGTGGTGATGATGGTGGTGATGGTGATGGTGGTGATGGTGGTGGTGATGGTGGTGGTGATGACGGTGATGGTGATGGCGATGGTGATGGTGATGGTGATGGTGGTGATGGTGGTGGTGATGGTGGTGGTGATGATGGTGGTGATGGTGATGGTGGTGGTGATAATGGTGATGACCAGAACATTCTTCTCAACTGTCCTTAGCATACTTTTGCTATACCCCAGTTCTACCTAAGCAGGAGTCTGGAGGTTTGGCCAGCCAGGAGGGCCATCACAACAGGTTCAGAGCTCACAAGAAGCAGCTTTCCTTTGGATATAATACTTAATGGCAAGAGGTCAGAGTGCAGCATAGAGAATGGAGGAATTTGGTGGAGGGCTGGCCGATTCCATCCTGCTTTCACTTCTCTGTGTTTCCTGTGCCACCATTGCTTTAAGAATCACTTTGTAAACAAGATTGGTTGTGTCTCCTGAAAGGCTATGCATGGAGTTAATGTTAATATAGAGTTTTTAATAAAGAAGTTTGAGGCACATTTATATTCCTGGTAATAAAAGAAGCACAAGAGTAGAGGCTTGTGGGGGTCAAAGGGAGAAAAATCCAGACAAGGAATGGCCAAATCTTTTTTTGGAGCAGAGAGACACATACTCAAAATTTAATTTCCCTTTCAGTAAGCATACTTATAGATCAGTATATCATCTATGGTCCAAAAAGCTTTTGCATTTTTAGTAAGGAGTTTTGATCCCATATAGGAAGACTGTGCTGCTTGGACGGTCCAGGTTCCTACAGCCATAACTGCAGGAAGGGACCTGGACTTGCAGATGGGTTTCTGCCAGCAGGAAGTCCCCGGCTGGGCTGTCACACCAGCAGTGGGGGTGTTGGAGCTCCAGTCTGGCCGCTGGGTAGAGAAGGCATGCCAGGCTTGGTTGTACTGCTTGAGGGTAGGACCAACCCACCTGTGATGCTGAGTGTCAATGCTTCGCTGCGCTGGGCCCCCAGGCCATTATCAGCCTCACAGGCATAGTTTCCAGAATGTTCTGTGGTCAGAGAGAGGTTGAAGGACACTCCTCCTCCAGAGGGGGACGAGCTGCTCCACAGGGTGACTTTCTCGTGATAAAACCGGTACAGGATCGGGGGAGAGCCGCTCTGGGCCTCACAGCGAAGCTCCACCACGTCCCCCACCACGGCCCGGGTCCCGGGAGTCCTGAGGGTGAGGACGGGGCAGGATGCTGGGACTGAGGGCAAAAATAAATTAGTTGACATCAGTATCTTTTCACATTTCCTTTACTTTCATTTTTCAGAGATTACTTCTGTAGAGTATTTGTGACACTTTCTAGATCTTTTCTATGTATATGAACACCCATTCACACCAAAACGTAAATAAACACGTAAAAACATACATGCACACACATGCACGGGATCACAATACACATCCTGGTCTACACCCTGGTTTTCCCTTCAGCAGCACATCATGAGCCTCTTTCTACATCATTCTTAAAGGTCTCTCTCATCCACCTTTAGAGACCAACTTTATTGAGGTATAATTTGTACATAACAAAATGCAACTCTTTTAAATTTACAGTTTGATGATTTGGGGTGAATACTGCTCAATTATTTTAACAAGCGCAAAGCCTTCCAGTGTATGGATTCACCATAGTGCACTGAAGGAATTCCCCACGACTGGGAATGTCTTTGCTCTCCTCCTGCGGATAATGTCACGGCCAACAGTCCTGCACATCCATCATGGCACGTTTGTGTATGCACTTCTTAGGATAAATTCTTAGAAGTGGAATTTCTGGGATGAGAAATATGAACATTTCAAATAAACATATATTATGCTAGACTGTTCTTCAAAAACTTTGGACCTGTTTGCACTTGCACTAAGGGAATATAAGAATTCCAGTTCCCACAGTCTCATCAGTGAGAGTCATAGAAGGCGCAGAAGCTTATTATTTCTTCTCTGTTCCTAATCCTAAATTCTACAGTTATTGTCTCTGAACAACTCACCCACTGCATCCTATGTGACCCTGCGGTCTACTAGTGGGTGTTTCAGGTGCTGCTGGTGAACTACAATCCATTAATGAGAAGTTACAGCCTGTAAAGGATTCAGACATTATTGACAAAATGGAAAATTTGAAAGCTGTGGTTAATTTTTCAAAATGTATCCAGCCAATTCTATTTTGTTCTCCACTATGAAATAAGAATAATAACCATGAGAGAATTGTTCTTTTATTTCTTCTTCTCCCTTAGACCAGCTGACTTTTCTTTGTTACATTTATTTTTTACATTTTGGGCACTTTTGTAACCATGATTCTCACAGTTGATTAGCCTTTGTTTTCATTTCTGAATCAGTGGTTTTCAGCCCTATTTGTACGATAGTCTCACCTAAGGATGTGTTAAAAAATATTGATTCTGAGGCCACATCTGAGAGATTCTAAGTTTAATTGGTCTGGAGAGAGGCTTAGTAATGAGCCTGTTTCAGAGTTCCTAAGTGAGTCTCATGGCAGCCAGCGCTGAGAGAGATTCAGTGTATACGTTTTATATCTCAGTGAAGTCATTTTGAGTCCTTTGTATCAATTCCTATTCTGGCTGGCTGGATTTTGTCATCAAGTAATTTTTAAAGAAAGTTTAATGGATACTAAGTTCCCTGAGTCCCTGCATGTCTGAGCATGACTTTCGGATTTGGTATAAAATTCTCGGTTCTCTTTCCTCCCTTGAAAGTACAAGTCTGGACATGACTCCTCTCTCTTAGCAATGATTTCTGTGGAAAGTCTAAGACCAGTCTTCTTTCTGAGATGACTGCATTTATTTACTTATTTACTTATTGCCATGATCACACGCACACACACACACACACACACAGACAGATGTTTAACCTCGACATTCAGTAACCTCCTCAGGGTAAGTCTTTCCATCTATGTATTCAAGTTTTCTTCACTTCAGGAACAATTTTTATTACATCTTTGAGTTTCGTTTCTCTCCTCAGTTTGGTTTCCTAACTTAGAGACATTCCACTCAGTGGTCTTCACTGTCGGACCTCCGTACTGTACATTTTTGTCTTGTTGCCTTTGTATCTCTCTCTCTTTCTACTCCGCATTCTGTATTATTTTCTCAAATCAGTTCTTCATTTTATTAATGGTTTCTAGAAGTATACATTTTAGCCTTACTGCTTCAAATTTGGATTTCATTTCCAAAATAGCTTTGTAGGGTTTTTTTTTTTTTTGGTGTTTCTTTTGAGCTCTGCTAGACAATTTTTAAAATCTCTTGTGTTATCTTATCAACTCTTCTTTAACCTGTTTATTCCTTTTTGTAGTTTTTTTTTTCCTGAAGTCCATATTTTCTTTAATTGTTTTGAGACTATTTAGAAGAATTTGTAGGATTTTTTGTTTCCTATAGTAATTTTTCTTTTTGAAGATATTATGTGTTATATTTTAAGTTTAAAAGCATCAATGCAAAGACTCCCATATTGTGCTTCGTTTTTGCTCATAACTTATTCTCCAGTGAATGAAGTTGTATTCAGAGTCTTGTATTTGCTTGAGAATGCTGTGTGTGTGTGTGTGTGTGTGTGTGTGTGTGTGTGCATGTGCCTCTGTATGTGTCCATGTGTGTATGTGTGTGTGTTTCGGTGACTCAGAGCTGGTGATATAGATCAGAGCACATCCCCACGATATCTCTTTGCCTTTTCTTTGGGGTACATTCCCTCAAAAGAGTAGATTGCTTTGTCAGAATATCTGCCTGACTCACAGTGAAGCTTCTCACTCAGCTCACAGATAACTTGTTCGCTAACCTAGGGCTTATTAATTTCTGCTCACTTATATAAGCAGATGCAAAGATCAGTTTTCTCTTCCTGCTCTTCTCTTCCTCATTTTACCTCAAAGACTTCTTGTTCATTGAATCGTAAATGCTGACTGAGGACCTATACTGTGCCAGACCCCAAATAGGTACAGGGGTGTCGTGGAAACCCCGAGTGATCAGGTTCCATTCTCATGAAGCTTATATCATGGTGCAGAGGGAAGCAGACAAGAAACAGGAGATAAAGAGGTTTCAGGTACTGCTAAGTTTGAGAAGAAAATAAAACTTGATAATCAGATGGAGGATGCCTTAGGGCTGGGGGCATTCCTAGATAGATTAAGTTCTGGCTTTGGAATCTGGGTCTCAGAACACTTAAATTTCTTAAATCATCTCTTTACCCCACATTTTATATTGGGGGAATGTCTTCTGTTGGTCATTCTTGATTTCTGTGATCTAAAACAAGGGTTATCAAGGAGCTAGAGATCCTTCAGATCCATATGCTCAAAGATAAGACCATCTGTACCCAGACTCATGTGTCCCTAAGACCAGCACAGTTTGTGCACCCAGCAGGCCCCACCTCCAGCTGCACTCACACTCTGACTACCACCCGCTCCCAAAACCCTCAAGGTGCCTCCCCCAGCTCTGCCGTGAACGATGATGAGGCTCCGTCATGGTGGTGCTCTCTCTTGCTGGGATAGGTAAAGGAGCCCAGCTTGGCAGCATGCACGGTTTTCCCTGGCTCTCTTCTCTGGGGCTTTGACTGGTGCCTCTCACACTCTCCCTCACTTCATTTCTTCCAGAGCTTCATGAATTCCTGGCCCTAGGGTTCCTGTTCCAACTCAAGTCACAGAACTCTGGGGCTGTGAGGAACACTAATTATTGTCTTATCTAACTTCCAGTTTAGGTGAAAACAGTGAGACAAAGAAAGTTTAAGCGTTTTGCCCAAATCACAAACCAGTTATGTTCATAGCCAGAGCTAGAATTCAGGTTTTCTGATTCATACTTAGATCCGATGACCCAAGTGTTTTTCAGGTACACTGGCTCTTTCTAGGAAACTTCAGAGTCTGCTGTGCATATAGTTCCCTAAAACAAGTATTTTCTGAAACAGACTTCATTATGTGTCCTGTTGTTTCCATACTTTGTTGGGCTAGAGGTGGGCAGTGCACTGGCTGTCGCCCAGGGGGTAGCTTGGAGGCGAAGCGGCCCCCCCCCCCCCGCCAGACCAGGTAGAGCCACTGCTTTGGCAGTGAGCCACCCAGCATCGGCAGACGCGGCAGAGGGTGGAATACAGAGAAAGGGGTCACACCCAGAAGCTGAGCAGTCGATGTTGGGTGTTGCAGAAGCTGTGAGTCAAGAGAAGTCATGAGAGAGAGGGAATGGAGTGGAGGCTGCTCAGGAGCTGCAGGGATGGTGTGTAGGGATACGAGGAAAATAGCTGGTGGCCTGTGAGTTGAGCGATGGGAGCTTCTAGCTCGTCGCGTATCAATATAACCTGCTTTTGAGAAATAAGTTCTATTCTGAGACATCTCTCAGCTCTTCCATGGGTCTGCAAGTGTTGTCTTTCTTGTTTTTCTCACTCCCTGGGTGTCCATACAGGCCCTCCCCCTCTGGGGACACCCCGGGTCTCCGTTTCCTTGTGATGTGGAATGGACCACTCAAGATCTTTTGGTCATACTTCTGCTTCTCATAAAAGCAGACAAACCGATGAACAACTGGACTTTCACTCTCTAATAAGCAAAGATACCAGTGTAAATAGAAGCAACTTCACTCCAAAGATGACAGCGTTTTGGTGGTTACATGAGTCACCGTGAGCTGGTACACCCCTAATTTGTATACTTTTCTGAATGTGTGTCATACTTCAACAAAAGCTTTAAAAACGTAATACAGTAAAATGAAACTTATTTTAATGAATTAGGACAAAGCATCATGGAAACTCCAGAAAGCCATTCCTCCTTTCCTCGTTGACCCTATTGTGAGGGCTTGAACCTCTTCAAGGAGGAAACTCTGGAGAAATTGAGGGCTCGCCTGTGACTTGTCCGTGTGACTGTGCTTGCGGCTACATGAGCGCACGTGTCAGTGGGGAAAGCAGGGGATGCTTCTCTGCATTGGGTTAAAAAAAATTGCCTTGGGGACTGAACCTACAGGGCATGAGAAAATATTCTGAGGGACTGAATTCATCTGGCAAAAGCTGGGGAGTACGCTCAGCTATCTAGGGGTCTGGATGAGCTAGGGCTGGGTGAGGGCTGAGGCCACAGGGAGCTGGTTCTATGGGAAGGGGCCACCAGGGGCACCAGGTGTGTGTGTGTGGGGGGGAGGCAGGGACTGGAAGGTACACGCAGACTTCTGAAAGGCTCAGTGTGAGAGACGAGAACTGAGTCACCTCCCCTGAGATCAGCTACAAAGCGCTGAAGGCAGAAGCAGAAGAATGCGAACGAGAACAGAG